CCTCCATGTGACTAGACTATCCCACGAGGGGCACCAGGTGACTAGACTATGATACGAGGGGCACCAGGTGACTAGACTATGATACGAGGGGCACCAAGTGACTAGACTATGATACGAAGGGCACCAGGTGACTAGACTGATACGAGGGGCACCAGGTGACTATACTATGATACGAGGGGCACCAAGTGACTAGACGATGATACGAGGGGCACCAGGTGACTAGACTATGATACGAGGGGCACCAGATGACTAGACTGAAACGAGGGGCACCAGGTGACTAGACTATGATACGAGGGCACCAGGTGACTAGACTGATACAAGGGGCACCAGGTGACTAGACTATGATACGAGGGGCACCAGGTGACTAGACTGAAACGAGGGGCACCAGGTGACTAGACTATGATACGAGGGGCACCAGGTGACTAGACTGAAACGAGGGGCACCAGGTGACTAGACTATGATACGAGGGCACCAGGTGACTAGACTGATACAAGGGGCACCAGGTGACTAGACTATGATACGAGGGGCACCAAGTGACTAGACTATGATACGAGGGGCACCAAGTGACTAGACTATGATACGAGGGGCACCAAGTGACTAGACTATGATACGAGGGGCACCAAGTGACTAGACTATGATAGAAGGGGCACCAGGTGACTAGACTATGATACGAGGGGCACCAGGTGACTAGACTGAAACGAGGGGCACCAGGTGACTAGACTGAAACGAGGGGCACCAGGTGACTAGACTATGATACGAGGTGCACCAGGTGACTAGACTGATACGAGGGGCACCAGGTGACTAGACTATGATACGAGGGGCACCAGGTGACTAGACTATGATACGAGGGGCACCAGATGACTAGACTGTTATACGAGGAGCACCAGGTGACTAGACTATGATACGAGGGGCACCAGGTGACTAGACTATGATACGAGGGGCACCAGATGACTAGACTGTTATACGAGGAGCACCAGGTGACTGGACTGTTATACAAGAGCACCAGGTGATTAGACTGTTATACAAGAGCACCAGGTGACTAGACTGTTATACAAGAGCACCAGGTTACTAGACTGTTATACAAGAGCACCAGGTGACTAGACTGTTATACAAGAGCACCAGGTGACTGGGCTTATACGAGAGCACCAGGTGACTAGACTGTTATGAGAGCACCAGGTGACTGGGCTTATACGAGAGCACTAGGTGACTAGACTGATATGAGAGCACCATGTGACTAGACTGTTATGAGAGCACCAGGTGACTGGGCTTATACGAGGAGCCCCAGGTGACTGGGCTTAAACGAGAGCACCAGGTGACTAGACTGATATGAGAGCACCAGGTGACAGCACCAGGTGACTGGGCTTATATGAGAGCACCAGGTGACTAGACTGTGATATGAGAGCACCAGGTGACTAGACTGTTATGAGAGCACCAGGTGACTAGACTGATATGAGAACACCAGGTGACTGGGCTTATACGAGAGCACCAGGTGACTAGACTGTTATGAGAGCACCAGGTGACTAGACTGATATGAGAGCACCAGGTGACTAGACTGATATGAGAGAACCAGGTGACTAGACTGTGATATGAGAGCACCAGGTGACTAGACTGATATGAGAGCACCAGGTGACTAGACGGATATGAGAGTACCAGGTGACTAGACTGATATGAGAGCACCAGGTGACTAGACTGATATGAGAGCACCAGGTGACTAGACTGATATGAGAGCACCAGGTGACTAGACTGATAGGATAATAATGTAACACTGTGTCTAGATGGCTGCAGGTTTGGGCCAGTCATGTCCAACTGGCCATGAGAGTGGCTTAAAGTACCAGACTACTGATTGTAAATGAGGCATCATTTACTAAGTTGGCACAAGTCAAACTGTGATACATTGATGAAGTTAATATGTTTATTACATGTTTCAGCCAACTCACATTGGCTGCGTAGTCTGGGCTTCAGGCTTGAGTTGTCTCTTGCTGGGTAAAATCTCAGATGGGCGAATAACTCTTGGATTGGGTGTCTTCGGGTACTTCATTTTACCAGCTCATTGATTGAAATCAAACCAGGTTCTGTGCCAGCGGTTCATGTAGCACTGTCGTTATGTTTGTTAGAGTTCGGTTTTTATTTTTTCAACACTTTAGGTCCATTTTAACAATCAAGCCAAAGTAGCCACCTGACACATAGTTCGCTGGGGTGTTTCGTCAATGTCTGGAGGGACTGACGATGTGCATGTTTGGGAAGACTTGACAATGTGTCCTCAATCACCACTCATCTTCGCTGTAAAGTGTTTTGTTCATAATAAAGAGGCCCATGCACTATGAAAGATCATACTTGGCGTACACATGATGTACTCAACACGTCACTGGTTACTTAAGGACATGTGTTAGCTTGTGTTGCGTATAGTGGTGCTCTTGTTTGGGTTGGTCCTCCCTTTGCTAAGGTTATACTCACAACCAACATGTGCTGTGGCAGTGAGAGTGGGTGGCCATGAGTGACTCCAGTGTACGGGTGGGGACAGACATTGAAAGGCATTTATAATAAAACCTCTAGGCGCTTGGTAAGCGTGCGGTACATTCCCAAACACAGGATGGTGGCGACTGTTGGCTTTGGCACCTCTAGCAACTGCCATCTGCATTTACTACCTGCGCATATTTCTGGATTGTACTGGGAATAGTTGTTGGTTCACCAGTTTTTCAGATTGGACAGTGATGGAAATTTCATTTAATTTTTACTGGCACAGAAATGGAGCATGTTTGTGGTGACGTGCAGGAAAGTTGAAACCTCAACTACAACATGATGTTTGTTTCAGCAGTGCTTTATTACAATCCCACCCCAAACAAGGGAAATCCATGGGATAGTCTAATATTTCAGGAGGTGGTAGATGGGCTGCACTCTTTCGTGGGACGTAGGTGGGTTGGGGCCAGTTCTAGATGTTTTGGGGTCGTTAAAAGCATCAGAAAGCCGGGAAACTTTCTAACAGGTTTGACTGTCCTGTGACATCTGGATTAGGGTATTAATAAAGCACTGTTTTAGCCTTCAAATGTTTGATGTACATAAAATATGTCCACATTAATCACGGCAGTCTTTATACCTGTGGTTCACGTGGTGTTAGCCATATATTTCTGTTGTGGACCAGTTGTCACATGTGAGTGATTTGTGGCCACCTTTATTTCACAGAACATTTCCTGGTGGCCATGTTTAGATTAGGAAATGGTGAGCTGGCTACATTTGTAGAACATTTCCTGGTGGCCATGTTTAGATTAGGAAATGGTGAGCTGGCTACATGTCTGGCCACCTTTATTTCACAGAACATTTCCTGGTGGCCATGCTTAGATTAGGAAATGGTGAGCTGGCTACATATGTGGCCACCTTTATTTCACAGAACATTTCCTGGTGGCCATGTCATTGAATGCTTTTCACTTGTGTCAGAGAATTTTGTATGGATTGATGTATTCTTGCTACTTTTGTCAGAGAATAGTTCTATTGTGCGTGTATCTTTCTTTGTATTCTTGCTTCCTGTTGTTGATATTTATTGTATGGATCTTTCTATTCTTGCTGGTTATGTCAGAGAATCGTTGTATAGATTATTGTAATCTGCATTTATCCTACAGTGTCAGACATGTTACTGTCTTCACATTGAAGGACGGTCAGCAGCAATAAATCTCTGGTGTCAGTTCCCTTATCACGATGGTAGATTTGGGCATCCCATTTCTAATATCTTCCTGTTAAAACCATTGTCTTCCTTGCACAGCTGTTCTCCAGCAGGAGTTTCCAGACCTGGTCTACTTGTTTGATCTGCCCATAGTGGTCTATTTGGGGAGCTGCCCTGTTGTAATGACACTCGCCTGCAGATCGAAAGTTTGTGTTTGGGGGGTCCTGACAGAGACTTTTTTCTGTCCAAAAAATTACCTTGGCTTCCAGGTTGACTCAGGCTTGAGTGGTTACCAGGTAAAGTCCTGGGAAGTAAAGACGGCCAGCAGGATGTTGACCACATTTCCAACCCAGTACCAATTGGTCTATAAAATATCAGCCTAGCACTTGATGCCCAGTACGACTGAATATGTGGAGAAGGGTCCTATTTTGTTTTTTTTTAAATGTTTGGTGGTTTATTTGTTAATCTTTGATCTGACTTTATTTTGTTCCTGTCTGTCATTTTGTTGTGACAGCAGCCCCATTGTCTTGTAGTTCTATACTGTTGCACCAGTTTCACGTGGGTTTTTTGTTTGTTCATTGTGCCTGAAATTTTGCCTAACTTTGACATGCTAGGGGTGTCTGATACTGTATATGTAGAGATCATACCATTTGTGTGTTTGTTTGTGTGTGGCATGTCATATGTCAGACATTAGTCTGTCAATGTTTGACAGATGGAAGAACCTGCTGGGAGACAGGGGGATAAGGGATGGAAGAGGGGGAGATAAGGGATGGAAGAGGGGGGGGGATAAGGGATGGAAGAGGGGGGGGGGGGGAATAAGGGATGGAAGAGGGGGGGATAAGGGATGGAAGAGGGGGGGGGGATAAGGGATGGAAGAGGGGGGGATAAGGGATGGAAGAGGGGGGGATAAGGGATGGAAGAGGGGGGAATAAGGGAAGGAAGAGGGAGGAATAAGGGAAGGAAGAGGAGAATAAGGGAATGAAGAGGGAGGAATAAGGGAAGGAAGAGGGGGGGGCTAAGGGAAGGAAGAGGGGGGACTAAGGGAAGGAAGAGGGGAAATAGGGGAAGGGAGAGGGGAATAAGGAGAGATAGGGAGGGGGAATAAGGGGAGAAGGGAGGAAGATAGGGGAGGAGGGAGGAAGATAGGGAAGGAGGGAGGAACATAAGGGGAGGAGGGAGGGAATTGTTATATTTCTTTATTGGCTGTTTCATAAAAACATGTATTTTGTGTACATTGCAAATTAAACAATTTTGACATTTGCATTGAAATTCTTAATCCATGACATCATTTATTTTCGTTCTTTATGTTTCACAAGTTGTGGGGTACTTGCTGGGGTTACACAAGTTGTGGGGTACTTGCTGGGGTTACACAAGTTGTGGGGTACTTGCTGGGGTTACACAAGTTGTGGGGTACTTGCTGGGGTTACACAAGTTGTGGGGTACTTGCTGGGGTTACACAAGTTGTGGGGTACTTGCTGGGGTTACACAAGTTGTGGGGTACTTGCTGGGGTTACACAAGTTGTGGGGTACTTGCTGGGGTTACACAAGTTGTGGGGTACTTGCTGGGGTTACACAAGTTGTGGGTACTTGCTGGGGTTTCACAAGTTGTGGGGTACTTGCTGGGGTTACACAAGTTGTGGGGTACTTGCTGGGGTTACACAAGTTGTGGGGTACTTGCTGGGGTTACACAAGTTGTGGGGTACTTGCTGGGGTTACACAAGTTGTGGGGTACACAAGTTTGGGGTACTTGCTGGGGTTACACAAGTTGTGGGGTACTTGCTGGGGGTTACACAAGTTGTGGGGTACTTGCTGGGGTTACACAAGTTGTGGGGTACTTGCTGGGGTTACACAAGTTGTGGGGTACTTGCTGGGGTTTCACAAGTTGTGGGGTACTTGCTGGGGTTACACAAGTTGTGGGGTACTTGCTGGGGTTACACAAGTTGTGGGGTACTTGCTGGGGTTACACAAGTTGTGGGGTACTTGCTGGGGTTACACAAGTTGTGGGGTACTTGCTGGGGTTACACAAGTTGTGGGGTACTTGCTGGGTTACACAAGTTGCGGGGTACTTGCTGGGGTTACACAAGTTGTGGGGTACTTGCTGGGGTTACACAAGTTGTGGGGTACTTGCTGGGGTTACACAAGTTGTGGGGTACTTGCTGGGGTTTCACAAGTTGTGGGGTACTTGCTGGGGTTACACAAGTTGTGGGGTACTTGCTGGGGTTACACAAGTTGTGGGAGATCGACTTGCTGGAGTTTCCCTCTTTTTGATGTTTGTGATAAGTAGTCTCCAAGACCACCCCTCCCACCCCTTTTTTTTAAAGAACATCTGGGTTGTTCTTTATTGGCTGTCCTAGCAGTTCTACAGATTCTTCTGTAAAGTCACACCTACAAGGCCACAAGAAATTGTTTGGCTTGTTTATTAATATTAATATTGTTCAAGATTCACTCCCACATGTTAAAACTGACTCCATATAGCATTCAAGAATTTTCTAACTTTGATTGACATGGATTTATCGCATAACAGATTCTTCCTTTTATATAACAGTTTAAGACAGTTCTATTCTGTTCTTGATCGCTGTAATACTTAATCCGCAGTATAGTCATACAGCAGTGTTACACTGGGGCATCACAGAATGGTTACAGAGTAACCTGTAGCCTACGACTTGTTTGTTAGGGAAACTGTCTCCCTCTCTCTCTCTCTCTAACTGAGCACTAAGCTTTAGGCATGATTATTGATATAAATTTATTTACTTTTAGCAATTTTTCAAGTATAATGGGTGACATAGCAAACGCCTAAACATATAACACATCCACCTAGAATAGACCTGTACAAAACAAGCTTGGCGTACTCTGCAGCTCATCTGTAGAACCAACTTCCACAACCAATCAAAAGTATCAACCCCTATCAACAGAGTTGAAAGCTTTTTTAATATTATATAAGCTCAAAAGAATGTTTCGGTTTGTTAATATCAAAATTATCCTCATCATCACACAACTTCATTGTCAATAAAGTATTATTTGTGAAAAGTGGTAGCTGCTGATCCAGAATTTTCTTTTGGTGGCTGCGAGTCTTCAGTAAGGCGAAGGTCAGCAACATATTGATGATGAAGCTGATGGTAGCTACCAGAGAGATAGCCAGGACACTCTCCATACACGCGCTGCAGGAAGAAATGTGGACGTATTAGGTACAAGGTTATATTAGCGGTACGATTCAGGCTCATCATGACAGGCGGCCAGGATTTTAAAATGTTTTTTTCTTCAAATATTTAATGCACATATGTATACGACCCTTTTCAGACGTACTAGGTATACAGGGCTAGACCTATATTTTATAGAACAATCCGGCACTTGCTGGGTCATGTGGTCAAGATGATTCCAGACGTCTTTACTTCCTAAGACTACTTGGCTTGACCTCAAATAAGTTTGCTTTTGTCAGGACCTATGACTTTGTCAGGACCTATGCGAGCGTTTAGCTGCATTTATAAACTTGTAGCATCTTAAAATGTTCAGAAGAGTTTAGGATTTTAGAGTGATCTTCCTACACTTTGATATGGGCACTATCTGCAGCTCTGGTGATGTCTAGACGCTATTCAATCTCCTGCCACGTTTCTGAATTGTGTCCCGATTTCTAGTTGCGGTTGCTGCAGTGACCCTCTCTTTACGGTGCTGGATGTTCCTTGTCTTCTCAGCACTAAGCGAAGTCTCCCAGTCACACAAGGTCACACGAAACTTTAAACTTGTCTGAACACTGTAAGATACCACACGTGTACATTTATTGAATACTTATTGTATGATAACAATTTAAAATCCTGACAAACATTCTTGAATCCTCCCATTTTATCTAGAGGAAGAAAGAATCAAACTGTTGAATTAGAAAAGCTGCCTAGATCATTTATAGCAGGTTTGAATCTTGTAACATTACAATCTAGAATGTATTTTTTAAATGATATTTAGCTGCAAATTCTGTACAGAACATTGCAGACCCAACTGTTAGTTGCACATCCTGTACAGAACATTACAGACCTAACTGTTAGTTGCACATTCTGTACAGAACATTACAGACCCAACTGTTAGTTGCATATCCTGTACAGAACATTACAGACACAACTGTTAGTTGCACATCTTGTACAGAACATTACAGACCCAACTGTTAGTTGCACATCTTGTACAGAACATTACAGACCAACTGTTATTTGCACATCCTGTACAGAACATTACAGACCCAACTGTTAGTTGCACATCTTGTACAGAACATTACAGACCCAACTGTTAGTTGCACATCTTGTACAGAACATTACAGACCAACTGTTAGTTGCACATCTTGTACAGAACATTACAGACCCAACTGTTAGTTGCACATCTTGTACAGAACATTGCAGACCTAACTGTTAGTTGCACATCTTGTACAGAACATTGCAGACCCAACTGTTAGTTGCACATCTTGTACAGAACATTGCAGACCTAACTGTTAGTTGCACATCTTGTACAGAACATTACAGACCCAACTGTTAGTTGCACATCTTGTACAGAACATCGCAGACCTAACTGTTAGTTGCACATCCTGTACAGAACATAACAGACCCAACTGTTAGTTGCACATCCTGTACAGAACTTTACAGACCCAACTGTTAGTTGCACATCCTGTACAGAACATTACAGACCCAACTGTTAGTTGCACATCCTGTACAGAACATTACAGACCAACTGTTAGTTGCACATCCTGTACAGAACATTGCAGACCTAACTGTTAGTTGCACATCCTGTACAGAATATTGCAGACTTAACTGTTAATTGCATATCCTGTACGTACAGAACATTGCAGAATCAACTGTTAGTTGCACATCCTGTACAGAACATTACAGACCCAACTGTTAGTTGCACATCCTGTACAGAACATTACAGACCAACTGTTAGTTGCACATCCTGTACAGAACATTGCAGACTTAACTGTTAATTGCATATCCTGTACGTACAGAACATTGCAGAACCAACTGTTAGTTGCACATCCTTTACAGAACATTGCAGAATCAATTGTTAGTTGTACATCCTGTACAGAACATTGCAGAATCAACTGTTAGTTGCACATCCTGTACAGAACATTGCAGAACCAACTGTTAGTTGCATATCCTTTATAAAACATTGCAGAGCGAACTGTTAGTTGCACATCTTCTACAGAACATTGCAGAACCCACTGCAGTATTTTTTGCTGAGTTGATTTTGATAGTGGTATGTAGTTCTCTAGATCTGTGGTGTTTTGTGCCTCTTCGGTCACACACAACGGTCTTGACTGTAAAAGGGTTTTCCCGATCAAGGGATTAACCAAGCTCTCGAGGCAGAACAGCTGGTGTGTTCCACGGCACAAGAAATGTGACAACCACAGCTCTGGATCTCCTTGTGTATTCCAGTGCACAATTATATTGGGTAGCCATATTCGCATATACTTATAGTTCATCTATGTTGCTAAGGGCACTAAGGACTGTGATGTATTGCTGATTGCAAAAAATCAAACAATTAATAATTACACAATATCTAACAAACATTAACTTCAATGCAGCATCCACTAGAGGAACACATAGCTATGATGTGATTGAACTGGTACGAGGTTTAATTTAAGCGATAAAAACTGATACTATAAGCAAAATTCTTGCCTTGAAATGATCAAGATTGTTGGCACCCCCACACCGGAAGCAGAAAAAAACCCTGTTAAAATGGAAATGCATGACAAACTCAAGTTCTGGAACAACACCAAAGCCCAGAAGTGGATGAACAACCAGAACTCTCTGCTGGAGGTTACAGCCGGTGGATGCACAGAAGAACAATTAAAAAAACAACAATAATATTTATGAATTTCTGCCTCTGAAAAAAGTTTGGTGAAGCACATCAGTGCTGCCTTCAACTTCAAGATTACAGAACCTGTAACCAACTCCTCATGGGAACAATCAGTAAAGGTACCTTGGAGTGGCTGCTGCATCTGAGGACTGGGCACACATGGAACAGCCAAATATGCAGTGATGTCAACTGTGAAAACAAATCGTAACACTTTATAAACCAATCAGCTTTATGTAAAATATTTGGTATTATTATATCAGCTGCCTTTACTTCTAAGGACATCTCCCAATACCCCAGAGATTGTTTTACTCTTTGTGCACAATATTACCTACACACAATGAATAATGTGTACCTTGCTGCTTTTGCAAGTCAGACATTTACTGCAGTGGACTTCCGTGTCCATTTTTAAAATATGTATATGATTATGTTCCCTTTACACAAGTACAGAGCCTTTTTGTAAAATCACCATTTCTTTCCTACATAATTTAAAAAATGTTGCCTATATTTTTAGAACATTTTTGTGGCCTTCTAACTGCTGCACAAAAACTAAATCTTAGTTTCACAAACACTCTTGCATTTGCAAAGGTCATACAGTGTTAAAAAAGTGAACAAAATGTCATTACAATCAGACATGCAGTTTTTGGTGAAAAAAACTGAAAAACTGCCAAAATGAGAAAACGGAGGAAAAGGGAATTTTTCATGTTTTATTATACTAACAAAACTATTGTCACACTTTAACAAGTTTTCTTACACAGAAAAAACAGTTTCTGATGTTGAATGATCAATAGAATAATCCTGCTGCATATGCAGGACCTCCCTCTAGGGCATGTGTATGACATGAGTCAATTGTCATTTCAGTTTGGCAGCTTGTACACCATGTCTCTTTGTATGTCCTTTCAATTTTTCAAGTATTTCTAGCTCTCTTCTGCATCCCAGATGCTTTAAGTCTCTTTATATGCAGGACCTTACAAAATATTTAAAAAAAAACAAAAAAAAACTGAGAAGTGATTGGGGAAGCAATGACACCAAAGCTGAACTCCCTTGCTGCAGTTACAACTGCAAACTGTACAAGCTTAGATGAGGCAAACCTTCTTTAGTACTGCGTCCCCAGCTAAAGCTATGTAAACACTAAGTTTTTCCTGTTAAACCTTTCTTTGCTTACAAGTATTTGCCAATTGTTGACTTCGAGATTTCTTATGTTGAACGGATTAGTGGAGTTTAAATTTCTTGGGACAAGGCATTTTTCTATTCAGTGGTCTTGCAATTGTGACTGTAAACAATCAACCACAGCAGTCATCTCTGAGAATCAGATGCCCTCATGATCAGTTTCAGCAAGTGAGAATCGCCCGTAGTGGCCGGGGTCATGTTTACACCCATATATTTAAGTTCCTGGACTTAAATACAGGTCAATGAATTGCCTGTGAATGGAAAACTTGGAG